TCAGAGGGACAAAGGACTGTTCTGATCAGCACGTCATGACGTCATGATGACATCATAGCACGCCATGATGACGTCACACAACAACGTATGGCGCGTCATCTGTAACGTCAGATCTTCAACATCATCACAGTATGATACGAATGAATGAATGAATGAATGAATGAATGAATGAATGAATGAATGAATGAATGAATGAATGACGTCACATCACAACAACACATCACCTGATGACGTCATCCAAAACGTCAGATCTTCGCGACATCTCACAGTATGACGCAATCACAACGTCACCCGCCTTCGAAAAAAATAACACTGTTGACATCTACACACTGTAATAACATGCCGTATCGTTCGCACATTATTCATTATTGAATCCATTCATTTTATTCTTTCATTCATTCATTCTTTCATTCAATCAGTAACTTGTTTATTCATTTATCAGTTCACTTATTCATTCATTCATTCATTCATTCACTCACTCACTCATAAGCTTGCCTGTACAATGCGTCCCATGCTGAAATTGTTATAAATTGGTTCTTTACACTTCGAATCTTCATCTAGCTAACACGAGTGCTTCTTCCATATTAAAAAATACTTGAATTATTACTATTAAAATTATTATTCAACCTATTTATATTAATTAATTAACTATATATATATATATATATATATATATATATATATATATATATATAATTATATATATTTATATGTATATGTATTTATATGTATATATATATATATATATCGAGATTTATTTTCATTTATATTATTATTGATCTTATTGTTGTTGTTATTATTATTAATATTTTTATTATTATATATCATTTCATTTGTATTACAACCAATTTGTATATATTAATTATCTCTCTAGAATGTTCTCTAAAATTATTTATTATTATTATTATTTATTAATTATTATTATTTATTAATAATAATTATTATTATTATTTATTATTATTAATTAATGGTCTTGTTTCCGCATTGATTTTCATTCCACCATGCTTTTTTTTATTTTTTTTTTCATTAAAAAGCATAATTCATAATAATAATTATTATTCATAATTTGTATTCGGCCAACACGGGGCTCTGGCATAGGAATTGAACTATAGTACCTTTGAACTTTGACCGCGGATGGCGTTTGCGTCATTGTGTTCTATTTATAGGTGTTCCTATTTTTAGGTGTTCTATCTTTAGATATTTTATTTTTAGAGGTTTTATTTTTAGATATCGTATTTTTAGATTTTCTAAGTCACTTATAACGGTGGTGTGCTATTTAATAAGGCTTCACGCGTAAATTGCATCATCGATGACGTCATTTCGGACATAACTTCATAGTTTGTTTTTAAATGAAACATTGTTTGTTTTTGTTTGAAAAATTTAACTATAGTTTGAAATTTGTAGTCATGAGTGATGTATTCTTATCATTTTATTGTGTGAGTTCGTGTTTGTGTGCGCGCGCGTGTGTTTTTGCTTCTCTATGAGCTTATAACTGATGCAGTGACATATTTTAATTAAATCGCCTAGCTGTATTGATTAATGAATTGGTTGAATTGATTGGCTGATAGATGGATGGATTGGAATGATTGATTGAATTGGTTGATAGATTGGAGTGATTGATTGAATTGATGGATGGATTGGAGTGATTGATTGAATTGATGGATGGATTGGAGTGATTGATTGAATTGATGGATGGATTGGAGTGATTGATTGAATTGATTGTTTGATTGAGAGTGTTGTCTCCTATTTATATTATTTTGACATGATGCTAGTTTATTGGTTTTATTCTTTTATACGATCTTCCGATTGTTTTTTCACTCTTTCACGTTTTTCTTCATTCATTCATTCATTCATTCGCCTATCTATTCATTCATTCGCCTCAACCATTAATTCACTCATATATCCATCCATTCATTCACCCCAACCAGCACTTTATTAATTCATTCATTCATCTATGCGTTCACCTTATCCAATAATTCACCCATTCATTCGCCTTGCCAATTCATTCATTCGCTCACTCACTCATTCATCAATTCACTCGTTTGCACTTTTTATTCAACCCGAACTCATTCACGAATTCCTTAAAAAGTTTGCTTTTAACCGCTAGTTAGTTCACCAGACATTATATTACGATTCAATTACTCCAATTATTTTCATAATTACTTTCATAATTAGATAATTAATTATTTAAGTATTTACAATTACTTTGGAAATTATCCAACGAGAATGCATTGATTGGATCTTTTTAACTATCACCGAATTTATTTCACCGAATTTATTTCACCGAATTTATTTTTGAATTTTTTCTTTTATAAGTGCTTATGAAAAAAAGGTTTTTTTAGAGAAAAAAAACATTATTAATCAATTGTTTTGTAATTAATTGGTTAATTAATTAATTAAAATAAGATAAAACAACGACGAAATATCAACATCATTATTTTATTTTTTTATTTTATTATTATTAAAGAAATCACTCGCAAAATTGCTTCCAGAGAGGTGAATTTCAGATTTGAAGGGAGAAAGAAATGTAATTTAAGACACGAAATTAATTTAAATTTGAAAATAATTCATAAATAATTAATTGTGTCTATAATAAAAATAATAGTATTAATAATAATAATATTATTAAAATTATTTGTTTTTTACTGATAAAGTTTTCACCAAAAACTTAGTTTAGATGTCGCCAAAAAACGCTATTTTCCATTTTTTGTGAAAATTCCATTCACAAGTATTATAACTATTAAATAAACGTTTACTATCATCATCCACATCATCATCATCATCATCATTCCCATCATCATCATCATCATCATCATTCCCATCATCATCATCATCATTACTAATACCATCAGATTTTTCATCATGAACATAGTCACCGCCATCATCATCACAATCAAAGCTATCCCATCATCATCATTATCATCACAATCAAAGCTACCCCATCATCATTATCATCATCGTCATCAAAAAATTTTCTCTTCCCTCACAACCAGCACCAATGAAGACAAGCAGCATGAGAATTACATGAGAAGCATTGAATGGCACGACGGCTATGTGAAACCTAAAGCAGAAGCAACAGTAAACATAAGAAAAAGTAATAATAATAATAATAATAATAAGGATGATAATAATAATGATGGGATAAAATTTGTAAAAATTGTATAAAATAATATTAAAGATTAAGACCATTTTGCTCATTGTGAAGTTAAGTGCAGAACGGTGAAATATATTTAATTAGCATCATAGCTTGTTCCTGTCACAGTAAATATCATACGATAATCTTATAACAGTGTTTATCAATTTATCATTAAATCAATAATAATAATAATGATAATAGTGATAATAATAATGATAATAATCTGACTTCAGCCCATATCATGTCTGCATGTTTGACGTTTGACCTTGATGGCACTGAATAAAGACAGATCAAACAACCGACCAACCAACTAACGAACCAATAAATCAACCAATCATTTAATTAGCTAACCAATCAATCATTCAGCCAACCGATCAATCAACCAATCAATTAATTGGCTAACCAATCAATCAACCAACCAATCAATTAATTAGCTAACCAATCAATCAGTCAGCCAATCAATCAATCATTTCTTCTTGGCCCCGCCCGCCAATCCCGCCCCCGCGTTGAACTTGAAGTGAATTATGTCGCCATCCTCTACTATGTAATCGCGCCCCTTCTGCTTGTATTTGCCGGCAGCCTATGGAATTATTATTATAACTATTATCATTAATTTTTTTTTTTTGATGAACTCTCACAAACATCAGTCAATAATAACACACACACAAACACACACATACACAAAGCGTATGTGAATGCACGTTAATCCACACGCACGCACGCGCACACAGCAGACACACATTGCATGTGAGTTATGCGTGGATCTGCTTGCATTTGAAACAGGTTTCTGCAACTGCCTGTTAATTCTAATAGACGCCTCAACCATTACACCACCATACCGATATGGCGATAACAAGCGAGTGATGATGTTTATGTTAATCTATGTGCTGCTGTCCTTTCAGATGGGTAGTAGGATGAACATTTTGAGACGTGTTTTTAAGTTTTACACAAACGTTCACTCACGCGATTCTTACATCCGTATAAGATTTAGAAACTCCATTGTATAAAAACAATCTCAGCGCACATTATTCGGATGAAGATTTGTCTGCATTTGAACAAGGTCACCACGGCATAATCAAATTTTGAAAGAGTAACGTACGCAAAAGACCAAAAGGAAGAAATGGAAATCTCAGTGTTACTTAGATTTTATCTTGCATCCTTTGGATCCAGACACTGGTCCATACAAATTCTTTTCAAAGTCTGTACTCGAAAGGGATACAAAACAAAACGAAGTATACAATACACAGGGTCGTGCCCCTAAGTGGCCCACCTTGACGGCATTTTCCGAGCCCTCTTCCTTGAAGTCATCGAACTTCATGACCTCTGCCATTATGAAGCCCTTCTCGAAATCTGTGTGGATCTTCCCAGCTGCTTGCGGGGCTTTCGTGTGTTTCTGTTGACGTGTTTGTGTATTTGTGTGTGTGTGTATTTGTGTGTATGTATATATATATTTTTGTGTATGTGTGTGCATATTTTTGTGTGTGTGTGTACGCATGTATATTTGTGTATGTTATTATATGTACATGTGTGTGTGTATAGAATGCGTGTGTGTGTACGTGAATGTGTTCCGCGAATGTGGGAATAATTAATAATAATAATAATATAATAATAATAATATAATAATAATAATAATAAAAGACATTAAAATAGGCGGAACACGCATCTAGTTAGCTGTTAGTAGGTTGAAACAATAAAGAACCTTGAGCAAATCACAGACCGTTAAATCTAAATCAGAACAAAAAAACACGACCAGAAGAATTCAGTAAAGCTGATAACAAAGTTGTAACTTGTAATCAAACTTTATGCAACACATGTGGAGGGGACTTTTAACGTATGTGTGTATAGGTGCGTGAGTTGTTTGTGAGGTTTTTTATGTGCGCGTAGTGTACGTGGATATACAAATTTGTTTGTGTCTGTTTTTCGCATCCTTTTGTGTAAGTGTGTATACAAATTTCCGTTATACAAACATCTACAAAAGACTTTTAATGTATTTTTAATTGCCAATGGCAGTTTACAACTTATTTTATTGTAACAGTTGACTATGGCTTTGTCCTCATCATCACACACACATACACACACACAGACACACACACAGACCCACATACAAACTCACACAAACACACACATACACACACACTCACTCACACACTGACTCACACACACACACACTGACTCACACACAGACTCACACACACGCGCACACAGACTACCTGTATAGTCCATGCCTTGACTTCATCTTCGCCAGCTGTGAAGAAATACATAAGACCAAGTGAGGAATACCCATTTACGATGATTTTTTCCAAGGAACTGATTACGTATGTGTGTGTGCGTGCGTGCATGTGTGTGTTGTTAGTACAACAATTTATTATAGATATGTATATATATATATATAAACCACACACACAAACACACACACACATAAAAACCATACACACACACACACACACACACACACACGCACACACATAAAAACCACACACACACACGCACACACAAATCTATATGAAAGGTATTTTAGAAATAGCGTGTTACATAGATATTTGTAGCACATACATGGAATAAACCAATAGTCTTTTAATAACGGTTTTTCCACATGGTTAAAAATAGACTGTGTTAAATTGTAGTTGTTTGTTGTTGTTTTTTGTTTCTATAGTATTTAATGTTGTTGTCGTTGTTGTTGTTGCTGCTATTACATATGCACATAAGTTGAAGTTGTTTGTTGTATGTTGTTGTTTTGTTTCTCTAGTTTTAATGTTGTTGTTTTTGTTGTTGTTGTTATTACATAAGTACATAAATTGTAGTTGTTTGTTGTTGATGTTTTGCTTCTATAGTATTTAATGTTGTTGTCGTTGTTGTTGTAGTTGCTATTACATGTTGTTGTTGTTGTCGCTGTTGATGTAACTGTAATGAAACTAATTCAATTCAAAAGTCGAACTCTCAAATTATTGTTAGAAACGTGATGGAATGGTTAGTGATGAATGGTCGAACAGCATGATTTAAAAAGGATGTTACAGAACACAACAAAAGCCTGTTAGGAGGAAGTCATAACGTGAAAAAAAAATATTCACAATTTAGAACCGCGTATGTAGGTGAGTAACCAATTAACCATAAACCAAGAACCAAGGTAAGAGTAACAGCAAACACACACACACAGACACACACACAGGCACACACACAGACACGCGCACACACAAACGTACAGGGATGGTCCAAGCCCTGACTTCATCTTCCCCCACCGTGAAAAAGTACATTAGACGGAGAGCCCTGTAGCCCGCTACTATGATTTTCTCTAGAGAACTGACCAGCAAGAATTGAACGTAAGACAGACTTAAAATTCGACCGTGGCCTCAAAAACGACATGAAACATAAAAAATATCTAGAGCCGTGTTGCCGGGAGAAACATTTATAGGAATGAGTCTACAGTAAAAGTATTCAAGTACTCATTGTATTTAAAGAAAGTGACAGTAGAGTCACTTTGAAGGATGTCATTGTTCATTGTTACAAAACTCAGTCATACACCCACCAACTCTCTCTTTCTCACTCACACACACAGACACACACACACACGTACACAGACACACACACACAAACAGACACGCACACACACAAACAGACAAAAGCACACACACAGACACGCACACACACAAACAGACACGCACACACACAAACAGACACTCACACACGTACACAGACACGCACACACACACACACACGTACACAAACAGACAAACACACACACACAGACACACACCTCGTAGTTTCCTGTTCTTTAAGGTAAGCCTGCCTCTCCTCATCACTGGCCATGTCCATCAGTTTGAGTTCCAGAGCCCCACTGAAGGGTATTATGACACTGCCCGGGTCGTGAGCGTCCACCCACTGTTTTATCTTCACCAACCTGGAGGGGTCAAAGTTCACCAGAGGGTGGCATAATTGTGACGTCATTATTACAATGATAATTATGAGACATAATTACGTCATCACATCGTTAAAATTACATCACCATCGTGGCATCGTACCAACCATTTGTTTTTCTTCTTAATGTAATCCTTCTCGGACATGTTCAGCAGATAGATCATGGGCTTCGAAGTTATAAACATGTGCTTGTTCAGCTCTTCAATCTGTCATCATCATCATCACCGTTACCACCACCATCATTATCATCATCACCATCATCCTTATCGTTATCATCACCATCATCATCGTTATCACCATCATCGTCATCACCATAACCGTTAATATTAGTGTTTTAAATCTTTTGACAAAAAAAGAGCAGTGTCAGAACCACCACAGACGATAATTTAATGTATAAAAACGCAACTACGCTACATCAACATTGATTATAGAAGGCTGGAGGACAGAGTGCCTGGATCCTCTTGAGTTGAGTTACAGCGACCGCGTTCGAACGCACGGTGATCCACCCACCCAATCTATAGTGTATCACTTTACAAGCAGGTCTCAAGTGATCCAGGTGCTACTACACAGTACACACACTGAGGACATTATCATCAACAAATATCATCATTATTATCAACATCATCATCAGCATCATCGTCAGCAGCAGCTGCAACAGTAGCAACTGCAGCAACTACAGCAGCTGCATGTGACCTCTTTAGCGTCCCAGGTGCCAAATCTGACTGGCCTCTTTTCCTCACAGACAAGATGTTGTACTTTCTTCAGGACATCCTGTAATGAAGATGATGATGAGGATGAGGAAGATGATGATGATGATGAAGAAGATGATGATGATGATGAGGAAGACGATGATGAGGAAGCATAATGATTATGGTAACGAAGATGATGCTGATGACAATGGTGGTGATGACAACAGAATAAAATGATGATAATAAAAAAAATCAAAAACCAGTCACAACCGACAACACCACACCACAACTGACCTCACCACAACCGATACACCACAACCGACCACACCACAACCGATCACACCACAACTGACCACACCACAACCGACCACAGAAGACAACCGCCCGACACTGTGACTTACATACTCCGACTTCCTTCCCTTATCGCCGCCCCTGACGACCACCCTCTCGAGATTTTCCACATTCTTGTCGATGTACTCCAGATCTTTCAGCCTCAGCTCCTCGTGGATGACCTTGATGTCCCGTACGGGGTTGACCTCCCCATCCACATGGGTCACCTCATCATCTTCGAAGATCCCTACGACGACGATGATGATGATGTTGGCGGTGGTGGTGGCGGTGGCAGTGGTGGATGGCTGTGCGGGAGTGATATGATGATGCAGATGGCGATGAGGACATTGATGATGATGAGTAAGTTAGTCTGATGGGTTTTGTGAGTGTAATACTA